CCTGCATTTTCTTGGTGCGTTGCATTTTAAATAAAAAGCATGCACCACCAGCTCATTTGAGAATATATATGCATATATATAAATATATGTATATATATCATCTCTGTGTCACATATGAAACCACAGACATTGTCACAGCAGATATTTGTCACAGTGGGGAAAGCACCAGTGTTCCTAATAATGGCACGGCTATGTTGAAATGTCTCAGAAAACCCTGACAGTGTGACAGTGAGCCGGGACTCTGTAACTGCAGTGTCTAAATGTTATTTTATCATCATTAATTACAGTATTTTAAATAGTTGCTTTTATTATTGTGCCTGCTTTTAAAAACAGACTAATGGAATTAATTAGTTGCATGCTTAAAATAGATCAGTAGAGTTTTGTTTTTTAGCTTTCTGTCATATTTCCAGTGTGTGCTGTGTTGCTGTTTTTTATTTATTAGAGCTACCGGATTTGTCATCCAGTGAGATTGTAAATGGTTTGCTTTTGGTTTGCTCAGTGAGTGCAGGATGTGACGTTGGCATTCAGGTTATCTGTTAGTGTTTGGCTCACTAGTTGGGTGACATATTTCAGTGCGTACTTGTGTTCCTACAGTGCGCGGTAGTGTGTGCTGCTGCAGTCGGGCATTAGGCAGTAATCTGATCTCGCAGCCTCCTGTTCGCTTTTGGGGATCAGATGTCCACCGTCAGAGATCACAGCTCCCATTGTGTTTACCTTTAGAGACTCCCCATCTCTTCAGCCTCCCCTCACTCCCTCTCTTTTGCTCTGTTTACCTCCACCAGCATCTAACCTGGGTCCCCTCATCGCTCCCCATTCCCCCTCTTCCCCTTCCATGCTGACGTCAATTGTGTGTCTCACATTTTTGACACTTACATAAACCAATTTGAATGCACTTTCAAAATCCACTTGAACAATAATTTTCTAAAACTCTAAATATCAAACAAGGGTTTTTTTAAAGGTATTTTAAGTGTTGTAGTTGTTTAATTGTTTGCCCCTTGTCATGAACATGGAGTCTTGCGTGATGACAGAATGATGTGATGAAATGATATTGGTTTCATTTCTGCTAAAAAAGTTCTTTTTATTTAACATTAAAACAGTTACGACTGAACACATAAACATTGTTTTTAAAAAAAAACAACCTCACATCGTTTAACTTTTTGATTAAAAAAGCAAGGCAAACGCTCAGAGGACGACATCCAGGCTTTTAAGGAGCCTGAGCTCAAGCAAGATGACAACAAGGCGGGGCTCTGAAGTTGTGGGAAAGGAAACATCAGCTCATCTACAGTGCACAGACCTTCACTGGTCTCAGCAGATTGAGGCAGCCTTCCTGCACGCTGTTTAACAGAAATCTCACATTATTCTTTTTCAACATCAGAGGAGAAAATGATCTCATTTGTTACTTCAATGGACTGCCCAGTCTTGAAGAATATGTCTCAACTTATTAAATTAGCTATAATAAGGACTCGGTGTATCCGGATCCAAGTCATGGATTGGTCTGTTATTTATTTGTTGTAACAATGCTTCTTGGGAAATCTTATACCATTAAAGTCTGTTCATTTCCCCCTAAATAGTACCACATGGGTTGCGCCCATGAAAAAGTTGCCAAATCTTCTCTGCTAATGCCAAATAGCTTGTTCTGCTACTGACTCTTGTTTTGAACTTTTGGTACTCCAGTTCTGGCTATCAAGTGTCTAACTGTCTGTGATTAGCAGGCCTTGCTACAGTGGTCAACTGGTGTCTACTCCAAGCACGCCATGTTTGACTGATCTGAATTAGGCTTGTTCTATAGGACAACTTCAAGTGGGTGTTGCACAAAACCAACTTGCAGTATCATTTGGATTGTTCTTCAGTGCCATCTCCAAACTGAAGGCCAAGCTCCATCTAACAGGTTATATCAGAGATAGGCTGCGAAATAGACGTCCCAAGAAGGCTACTACATAAGAAGATCATTTCCTCACCCTATTAGCACTTAGCAACCAGAGGCAGCCTTTAACAGATTTACAGTCAAGGTTTGCAGGACGGTATGGCCGAGGGGTCTCTACCCAGACAATCCAGAAAAGACAGCACACAGCCAGTCGCTGGTCTCATAGAACTGCCAGGAAGGCTGATATGACCATCCTTCATCACTGGTGCAGCAACCATTCTGATTGCTGCACCAATGGGGTAGAGGAGGTGTGATTTTGTGAGGCAGCATCTCCCTCACTGGATAAACAAGGATTGTCGTCGTTGGAGGCACTCGCAATACAAAGATATCAAGATGAGGTTTAGCAACTGACCTCTGTGCTCGAACGTGACAACACTCGCTCCCACAGAGCAGGGTTTATCAGCGACTATCTGAAGAATTTGGGTGTGGAGAGGATGGAAGAACCTGCCTGCAGCCCTGACCTCAACACCGTTAAACACTTGTGGGATCAGCTTGTGCGTGCTGTTTGGGCCATAGCGTCCAACACAACCACACTGGCTGACTTGTGACAATTGCTGGTTGAAGAATGAGATGCCATCCCAGACCAAGCTGGACCAAGTTTGTGAGCAGCATGAGGAGGAAGTGCCAGGCTGTCGTGGCTGTGTATGGTTCTTCCGTATGCTACTGAGGCCCCTGCTTGTTAAATGAATAAATTGTTAAATTTCCACATTACACATTGCTTGTCATGACCATGGGTCACTTAATCCCAGCTCAGGCTCCTCAGAAGCTGGTATGTCCTCTGAGCTCTCGCCTTCCCGCCCTAACTTCTCAACCTTGTCCACCTCGTCCGCTGACATCTGTAAGTCTGACTTCGCTTCTACAAGTATGAGTAAAGTCCTTCCTGCCTCACTTGGTCCTCTGCTTTCTGAATGGGACAAATGGTTAAAAATGGGAGTTAGTAAGTCTTGCTGCCCACTGCAAAGGACACTGAGTAAAAAGGTTTGTTTTTAGGGGGTTAGAAAATACTGTACATTTCTGCAATCCCACTGATGTGAAGTTAAGAATCTGACATTGAAGAAACAATTAGATTTTTAGCAATATTATCATATTATCTGCAAAAAATATATGAATAAATGAATGATCACTTAAGTTCCCTTGTCCCTAGAAAACGTGGAAGCTGCACCATTTTGAAAAGAAAGCACATGTTATCTGTTTGTCAAACTATTGCAAATGTGGCGTCAGAAGAAATCCCAGGATTTCCTCTTCACTTCTGTTCTTCCCACAGAGGACAAGAGGGTCTTAGGGGGATTTTTTTCTGTCTGGGTTTTGCCTTTTTAAAATCATCAGGTATTATAAATGACATGTTTGTCAATTTAAATACATCATAATATGCTTTATAATTTGGTTGTATGGAGTTAAAGGTCACATAGTTGTGCACAAGCCTTCCACAAACTCACAGCTGACATTACTCTTTTTCACAATCAGAACCAAACAAAGCATGAAATGCTCAATATGAAATAAGCGTCTCATCCACTCAATGCCCTGTTTAGTTTTTTGCATTATGATATTATTAAAGTTCACAGGAAAAGTATCTCATGGCGCAATGTTTGAGAGTCTGAGAGTCTTCTAAGATATGTCCTTATCTGTCCTAAATTCTCATTTCTGCTTTGTCCTTGTCTCACTCTCTTATACAGATATGGAGTCCGCCATTAAGACGTTGGTGACCACGTTTGTTAAATCTTCCAGGGGGAAGGAGAACCTAGACAGCAAATCCTTCCAGAAACTGGTGGAGAAAAACCTCAGTGGTGTCATGGAAGTAAGTGTTTTGTGGTTGTCTGTCATGCTGCCAGTATATTAGAGCATGAATTTAAAAGCAGTTGTAATCTCTAATCTTTTTAATATTTGTTTTTAAACTCAGGATGCAAGCAACTCCTCTGCTGTTAAGGAGATGCAGAGGGGACTGGATGAAAACAGCGATGGAAAGGTCAGCTTCGAGGAATACCTTACCCTGATAGGTTACTTGGCTAACTCCATGAGTCAGCGCAAGACTGAAAGCAATCCAGATTCATCGTAGATACTCTTGAAGTTGCAGTATTTGGAGAGGATCTGCATTCAGCCATTTTTTTTTTCTTTTTGAGCTTATTAAATGTCTTTTTTTCATTTCCAAACATTCCAGCCACCATGTATACATCAGATCATAATGATTTTCTCTGAGATAGTCAACCAGCTATACTAGATCTTAATGTCTGTCCAAATGAACCTTTATGTAGTAACACTGTCACTGAAGGATTCTGAGCTGGTCTTTTTTATACCAATCCTACATTTTATACCAATGTTTTCAAAATAAAAGCTTTATATTAAAATTAAATTGTTTTTTTTTTGGTCTGTGGTTGCTGCTGTTGCACATTTGTCAGTCTTTTAAGATTTCACCTTTGAACCTCCCTTTCTCATATACATTTCCTTTCTTTCTACATGTGCGGAAGTACTTTATAAGTGCAGTAGTTTCTCTGTCATGATTTGACACTAATTGAATCATGCCTGCTCCTTTCCAGCAGCACTTGCTAAATATAGCTGCGACATCCCTGACTAGTCAAACTCAGCACCCTTTAGATGTATCACTTATTGCAACCTGATCCTGATATACAGTCTACACTTTCTATTGTGCACCACCCTTCACTCAGCAACTCTATACATTCGGTGTATACGAATGTGCACACACACTCCGTGCTACCCCCCTTACTGGCACAGTATGATGCTCCAAAGACTCATTAATGAGAAGATGCTTTACCATCACTGCACTTTAAAACATGATCTCTTCATATGAAAAGCTTTAATGTTTAATTTTAAGCACAAGCCTGTCTATCATTCATTCAGAAACGCAATTACTTTCATGGTCTTTGGCTCTCGCTCTCACCATTATCCAGATGTCTCCAAGTCCGGTGGATGCCTCACACGAACTATTTAAAGTATGTTTCTGTTCCAGTTCTCTGTTGTTGCTTCTCGGTTTTCTTCACGTGGTTTGTGCAAGGGTGGTGTGCAGCTTTAAAGGTGTGTCTTGAACTATTTTAAGAATTTTTTCTGTTCCTGTTCAAATGTGTCTTTATTTGTGCTTTTTTTTTTTTGCATGTATGGTGTATTTTGAAGCCAAAGGTGTGAACAAGCTTGTGAAAGTGCTCGTGTGTGTGTGTCCTCGCATTGTCATGTTCTCCTTTGTGTGGGGATTTCTCTGCATGACTGCCAGGTGCGATGGCTCCATTCATCGGTGCTACTCTGATCCTTCGGATAATATAACAAGCATGAGCACCCCCCTCCTCCAGTGAACATCCTACCCCTACAATTAACCTAACAATGTTTTTGCTGCTTGAAACCAGGTGCTTTTGGATAAGCTATTGAGTTATTAATCTTTGCCTTGGTATAGCAGTATTTTAAGCACTTCCTGCAAGCCTTTCCTTTGTTTTGACATGAAGTACAAAGCGGTTGCACAACAGAGGAGCAGGGTAATCCACTATTTCAATAGCAACCTGTGACACGGTAAGCAATATGTCACTGTCACTGCACAACAGCCCTTTGTGCTTGGAGCGCGGAGTTGGTCGAGTGAGTTTAGACAACGTATGAATATTTGGAAACAAATAGATCTTTTCTCCAGCACTTCTTCTCTTTTTAGTGAGTTTTCTTATTTCAACACATTTGAGCACATTAGGGCAGGTTTGGCTTGTAGACTTATTGTGAATACCTCAATTTACCTTAAGTCTTTCTGTAGCTGCAACCGGCTCTTGTGTGTGTCCAATTAGCGGATAGCAGGTGTCTCTGGCGTAAACAGAGAAGGTAGAGAGGAGAGGGGCAACAGGTGGAGGGGGTAGAGAAGGAGGAGGAAGGGGTAAGTGGGATGGGTGGAGTAAGGGATGTATTTAAGACGGTGTAGTCCTCATCCTCCTTAACAGTTGCTTTTACCTCCTCTCTTTGCACCTGAGCAGCAGGCCAGCACTAATCCTCCACTCAGGTAAGAAACAGAGGGACAGATTTCAACTGTCTCCACATTTCTCTGTTGTCTTTTTTCCCAATTATGATTGCATACTGGTGCTGATGCAGCTAGAGCACGTCTGTTAGTTCATCACTTGTCGAGTACCTTCTTCGTGTAGAGCACTAAGGACAGGACAGGGAGAACTTTCAGTTGATTCACTGATAAGTTATAAAAAACAATTTCACTGGTTAACTAGACATCGGAAAGACATAGCGTGCCAAAAATGCATTTTTAGTCATTTTTACATCCTGCTGATTTGTTTTGGGAAATAAAATCTATGTGAAAACTACTATAAGCTGTGATTGACAATTAGGAAAAGTCTTCACAGTTCACAGGTGATACAGGTTCAACAAAGGTAGGAACTACACCTGTTTGTGGTGTTTTTTTTGCTATCCGGTAAAGCTAAAGTAAAAGCCAGATCAGGTTGCCACTGTGTGTCCCCGATACATCTTCTCCAGTGGATGGGCTTTTTAACCAGCTTAGAGTTTCACTCTTATCAGCTGGCTCACATGTCCGGTTGCTGCTGACTATGTCCGGACTCCCGGAGGTTCTAAAACCTTGGCAGACCAGGATCCTTTTATCTGTGGCAAAATCTTATCAGGGCCAGGACACGATGAAGAAACTGTTAAGCTAGATAAGGTTTCTGTCCAAATACTGTGTGCAAAACTCATCTTACTTGAATGCATATTTGCAAACACATTTAAGTGCAAAACAGAACGACAGACAGGCTTTTCTGACCTGATTTTTTTCTGCATTAGACTTCCATGCTTCCCCCAATGCTTGACAGAGCACATGTACTGACATGAACTGTTCTTACTGTATCTTCAACCCACCCTTCTGTTCCTCTACAGAATGTCTTTGCCTAACTCCGAGAATGCTTCCACCTTGGAGAATGCCATGCAGCTCATGATCCAGACCTTCCATAAGTACTCTGGAAATGATGGGGACAAATATACACTGAGCAAGGTTGAGCTCAAAGAAATGCTTACCAAAGAGCTTGGCAGCTATCTGGGGGTAAGAAAGCACATGTTCATACTTAGGAAGAGAAGATGCAAATGTAGATTATGTGTACAGAAAAGACATTGCTTTTTTTTGTATCTTGATACGTGCAGAATGCCCAGGATAAGGAAGCTGTGGAGAAGATTATGGGAGACCTGGATTCCAACAATGATGGAGAGGTAGATTTTACAGAGTTCATCATTTTGGTTGGAGCTCTCACTGTGGCCTGTAACGACTTCTTCCTGGAGTACAATGACAAGCAAGAGAAGAAGTGAACACACCCTTCGCCCAGAGTCTCCACTTAAAAATCCCACATGTTCCAGGGAGGAAGCACTTAAGGAGAGAGAGAAGGCCCGTTTGGGACATCCTGTCATGGACCTCAAGTTCACAAACACACAGACACACACACAAACAAACCTCTAATAGAGAAATAAATGTTGTGTTTTGTCTTCAATGTCTCTTGAATTCATTCAAACTGTAATATTACTGCAAAGTGAACATCTTTAGTGTTTCAAGAGCTGTCATTCTTGAATATGTGAATATCTCTCTTTCTGCTCTTTTCGTGCATCTTGTCACACATTTAAGTAAGGGATGCCCCCCTTTCCCTGAAAAAAATAAATGTGACCTTTACTCAAACAAGTTGGCTATGCATTATTACAGAAGAGAACGAGAATGAACAAACAACGAGCACCAGGTGGCAGCAAGTGGTCCTCTGAATCCAGCGGTTTTGGTGCATTATTTCTAATTTGCATTGCCACATGGGTACAGCAGTTTGTGCCAGAGGTGGATGGATGCAGACCGGAGATACTATGTGGTATTTACGAAATACACATTCTAAGATGCTGTCTTTAAGTATTGCTAAGCGTAAGATATGAGAGACAGTTATTCCTGCTGTGGTGTGAATTATTCAAACTGGTTCTCTGCACTAAAAATGTCAGGTTTCTATGTGTAGATAAGAACTACCTACAGTCCTGTTTTCACAGTAGAATAATCAGAACCCAGAGTGACCTTGACAGGGCTTTAAACACATTATTGTTTAAAAGCCCTGCTTCCTAAGAGAAAAAAAAGTACTGTGTGACTGAGTGTGTGTGCATTTTTGTTCATATAAAAAAGGAAGTTGCCAGCATCAGTGTTAGAAAGCCAGGAAATGTTTCCTTCTTTCATGTGAAAACATGTCACGCAGACATACTTTGATTAATCTGAACCTACAACCTTTATTGGACTGGTTAAGGTGTGCACAGGAGCAGATTTTAGAGTCAGGAAGGGGAAGGTGAAAGATGGGAGAGCATAATGAGAGAGGAAGTGAGAGAGAAAGGAAGGAGAGTGGAAAGGTCAAAAAGAGAAAGAGAAGAGAGTGGACAGCAGCACTTTCTCCGTGTGGAGACATGCAGCCTACAGTTTTCACAGGTCTCTGATAGGCTTTTCACACTTGTTCGGGATCTGCCCGGGAACCCCCGCGGGTAATCCCATCCGCCCTAGACACAGCAAGAGACGCCTTCCAGTCCAAAACTGAGTTGAGCTGCAGAGTTGGTCACACGACTGCATAAAGCCAGGAAACCTGTAGCAAATGACAGTGACTGGGGAGATGGCCTTTTTCCAGAGGTTTATCGTACCTTTCCATTGCACTAATAACAAGAGTCTTTTGTCTCTGCCTATCCTGCTTTTTTTTCCTCCTCGGCATTCATCCTTTCTGCTTGTGATTTTGCACAACTTATTGCCTTGCCAGGACTGCTTCATTGTTGCTCCTGTTGGCATTTTGCTCTTGTTTACTAAAAATTTAATTCCTCCCACCCCCACCCGACTGCATGTGTGCCTGAAAAGACCTTTTGCATCGTCTTTGTTGTCAGGGATCCTGTGAAGATTGTGGAAATCTGCCACAAAAAGAATATGGCACTAATGACTGGAAGTTAGCTGTTGTTCTAAGTGGACTAAATGTCAGAAGTGAGCGCCCGTGGAAGACCAGATAAACAGAGCGGGACTGGAGAGAGGACAGCAGAGATTAATTGAAAGGGTGGAAGGATGGGAGGGATACATACATGTGTTATGCTCCTCTGGACACTGCATCTCACAGATGTACATGTGTACATATGTTCTGGACATTACATACACGAACAAAATCCACTGCAGAATTATATATTCAGGAGAGGAGAGGAGAGGAGAGGAGAGAGGAGAAAATGACGAGCGAATGAGGCTTTGTCCTGCTCTGATAACAGAAAATGAACAGTTGTGACATGACTTAATATCCATGATACACCTCCCATCAATCCACCATGTTCCACCGCCCATCAAATAGGAGCCCATATCCACACTCTTGGCTCAGCTTCCTCAATTTCTCAGGAGCTAGACTCGTCTCAGTGCAGCTGTGCACTCTGGCACAGCAGGCTGCGGCTGTTCTCTACTTACTGTGCACAACAGTCTGAGCAGAAAACCGTCCATGCATAATCTATTACTTCATCCCTTTGACTTTTATGTAATAATGCAACCTGGCTCTTTTCGAAGTACAACTACCTTCTATATATTTTTCCTTCACAATCTGTTGCTTTTACACATATTGTGTTAGTGTGCGCATCACAGGCTGTGTATTACAGTTTATATCACATTCTGGTTATATCTATACAATCATACAACACACCATAGTCTCTCTATTAGCGTCATATCCTTGCATGATCTAATAAACATAGAGAAATCTTAATAATATATACTCAATGCTATACTGTGGTAAGCAGCTATGCTATGATAAAATATACTGAATCAGTTTACTGACAGAGTGGATTTTTTTTTGGGGGGGGGCGGGGGGGGAGTATAAGAACCTTGATATTGATATAAACTTCCCTTTCCTCTCTGATACTGACATCAATCAACATAGTGAATAAGTAACGTCTGTCGTAGCTGAAGACAGGTATGTCACGTGTCACTTAAGCAGTCAGTGTAATGCGGAAAGTGTTAACTAGCTGGCGTAAGGTTCAACAAGGAATAACTCGGAGAATCCTCACTCCCTGGCTGGCTGAAGAGGGAAGCAGGGAGAGACCTTTCCACCAGAAAGAGGTCACACCATTAAGCATCTGGACAAAAAAAACAACAACCAAAAGCCTGCAGGTAAGAGTAAGATGGTGTTTTTCTTTATCTTCATAGGAGAAAAATCATTTGTTGCAAAAACTGTTACTATAAAGGTAATGGATGTGATTGTTGTTTATTCCAGTTCCGGTTCCTGTACCATAGACACATTAAAACCCAGACCCACCCCCCGCCTCCGGCCCATGTCCTGCTGTGCTGATTGGTCGGGGAGCTGTCTGTCAGCGTGCTTGTGGCTGGGGAAAAATGGTCAACCTGGCATGTTGATGGTCTTGGCTGTGTAGTTCTGGAAGAGCGGCTGCAGGAACATGCCCATCGTGCCGAACACGCATACAAACACAAAGATCCACAGGAAGAGGCGGTCGATCACCATGGCAACATACTTCCAGTCCTCGCTCACCTGTGGTTGTGGAACAGGGTGAAGAGAAAGATTAAGGTGAGCAGAATCCCACTCTCAAGTCCAGTCATGCTCATTATCATTCGACCTACCCGTCTGCCTTTAACTAGACGCAACGTTAATGGAGGTGAAGTGTTAATGTGAATGGAGACTCGTTCAGCTACACAGCTCTGATGAGGTCTGACACGAGTCAAGGAGGAGGAGAAGGATGTAAGAGACTGGAGAGAGATGGAGGACGGAGAGAAACAGAGGGTGTTCTGAAACTGTGACCCCTGTGATGATAACTTAAAGAGAGAGGGGAATGAATGATGAGCCATGCACTGCGCTGGGAATGGGAGGATTTTAAAGGCGATGGGATGGTAACTATATCAGTGATAGACAGAATTACTGCGGTTTATTAATTCCCATGTCAGACGCACGCTCCAATAAGATGCGGTCAGAATAAGACATAAAAAATAAAACCCTCACTCTGCTGACTCGCTTCTTCTATTCCAGCTCTTTACCAGTTATACTCTTTCTCTATGCACACGTCATGCTGCCGCTGCTGCTATAATTACATGTCTGTGTCGAATATTCAGAGGGTTACGATTGCATCACCAGATCTGTCTCCTTTGCTTCTGGCCTTTTGTACTAACCCTTGCATTTTAAATGGCAGTACTAAACAGCAGAGTCGCACAGCTCGGTCTTGACTATAACATGATATGGCACTGATCTGTGCTGCTCTGGATACTTTTTATGGCTGGTAACATATGCGCATAAAAGAAGATTGTTTATGGCAGGATTTCACACGCACGGAGACATGATAATTTTTTTATGTTAATACACAGTTGAATCTGAGTAATAAATATGGAGGTATGTATTATCAGCCGATACTATTGGTGCTCATCTCACATTATCACAGGCTATATTAGCATGCATGGTGTCAGAGCTGTAAACTGCAGCATCACATCAAATACACTTTTTTAATGTCATTTGTTTTTGCCAAAATTGCTGTTTAAATTTACAGTATTACATTTTTTAAGCTAGTGGAATAGCACTAAGTTAAAAGCTGCTGCTCAACAAATAAAGTAGACAAGCAGCACAAAAGCATTTATTTGGAGCTGTGTTTCTTTTCATAAGGAGACAGTGAGCAAATACTAGATAATTTAAGCCCCATCCCCCCAAAATAACCCAATGACCAATTTTACAATACAATATAATTTTACAATATAAGGTTAAAAAAATTTCTTTCACTGCTAAAAGGCTCTATCAGTCAAAGAAAGTGTTTGATTAAAGTGCTAAGGTCAGCACAAACAGTAAAATCGCAGTCTTTAAAAGCAGGGCAGCTACAGTGGGATAATAACTATCTCTGAGTCTGTGATTACACAAAAAAGACAGATTTACTGAGAGGAATAAATTAGTGTAGTGTTGCAATCACAGAAAACAGCACAGATGTGAGTGGACCGCTATCAGGTAATCAAAACTAACTGTCTAAACTATCTAAAAATAACATTTTTCCAGTTTTATAAGCAAAGAAAAAGCTTTTTGACATCAATAATGCCCAGGACAGTCTATGAGGAGGAGGGCAAATTCACAGCTCAAAACAGAGTAGAAATGATTAGTCAGTGAATAATCTACAAACATTATACAGCAAGGCTCAAGTTGACTGCAGGATTTATGCAGAGAAGAGCTGCTTTATTACAAAATGGGTCAGTGTGCAAACCTGAAACCTGTGTATGACAGATTTCAGGTTTGCACAGGTTTGTTAGCGATGAAGCGGACTCCTTCCACAGCTTCCTCAAAGAAAATACAACATTTTCTCTTGTCCTGACCGATGCACATTTTAAGTTATTCTTACTGTGTCATGTGTGTAAATGCACATTGCTCTTGCTTTTTCTATGTGACATATAAGCCTACAGGTGTTTATTAAAGTCAAAGGAAAGACTGACTCAGCGGCAGCTGTGGGCAATCAGGTTGTTAAAAAAATAGGCTCAGATATTAAAAACGGGATTGGATGGATTAGATACTCATTTGCAAAAGTATTGATCCCATCAGGGCGGCCTTTGCCTCCTCCAGATGGCACACAACTTTACACAGCTAGCATACAGCCCCTCACCTCACTAGCAGCTGAATTGATTTTCACAAATCTGAACAACACTTTATGAAAAACATGAAGTTGGTAAAGCTCCTGCTTCAACAACACTTAAGTGTTAAACAATTATTATAAAAGTCAACTTGGCCAGTGAACACATGAATGTTAGCCCTTTAACTACTAGCAAATATTGGATAGCTACATTAGCCATGAGTTAAGTTATCATTTAAAGAAATAATAAAACTCAGTTGGTAGCTAGCAGCTATGGCTAATACGAATATGAATAATTTAAAAGTATAACAGAATTGTTTTTTTTCTTAAAGGCAGACATTGAAGCAAAGACAAATCTACCAGCAGTGGCCCCCACCTTAACAGCTCAATTATATTTGCATTATGTTATATTTAAATTTTATTTTTGATATATATATACAATTAAAATATGGTGCCAGGTGTGTTTTGCTCAGTTATGTTACTGTAAAGTACATATGTTGGGCAAAACATTGTTGTCATTGGCATTATTATGTTTATTCTTTAAGATCTTTATTTT